AAAGTACAAATAACAATGGTTTAACCTCCAATAAGCACCAAATCTAATACTTTCACTGTTTACAAAACAAGATAACAAACATTCAAGGAGAGTCCTGTCTAAGTAGGAATGGAAAACCTCAATATGATACTGAATAGAAATGTAAATTACTTTGCCATCTAGTGGCTCAAAATGAAAGTACAAATAACAATGGTTTAACCTCCAATAAGCACCAAATCTAATACTTTCACTGTTTACAAAACAAGGTAACAAACTTTCAAGGAGAGTCCTGTCTAAGTAGGAATGGAAAACCTCAATATGATACTGAATAGAAATGTAAATTACTTTGCCATCTAGTGGCTCAAAATGAAAGTACAAATAACAATGGTTTAACCTCCAATAAGCACCAAATCTAATACTTTCACTGTTTACAAAACATTAAGAGGGAAAACAGAAACTCTCACCGTTGTGCACAGAAAGTTGTTATTAAATTAGATAAATATGCTGACAGAAGAAGTGTGTATTAAAGGGTTATGATAACAGTAAATTGATTGTTGTGGCTTAACTCTTTCAGCATGGCATAACCATTCTGTACTTGTTATAGTTTTCATGCTATAACTTTCAATACAGTAAGCTTATCTTATTGAACTTTTGCAGATTATCAGTAAACATTACAAATTATCAGATATTTTAAGAATTTTTAAGTAATGTTTTTCTCATGCCTTTTTTTTAGGAATGTTGATATTAAGATTAAAAATACTTTTATGCATCAGAAAATTTTCAAATTTCACATGCAAGATCTTTATAATCTTCAGATACTTATCAATCATTTAACAAAAATCTTTATCAAATCTCTGTATGGGTTCAGTCAATTTGACCGACCTCGTAACCACCATAAAAAAATTAGGAAATAAATATAAATGACTACAAATTATAACACGAAAACATAGATGTTTAGACTAAATAGCTTAAATCTCATAACATTATACATTTATATATATATGTGTGTATTATTTTTATTATATTCACCTTTCAGCCGTGCCTGGCTAACAATACAGAAGTTGCAATGACGTGGCACATATGCACTCATGTTACCGTATCCAAGAATATAAAACTGGCTTTTACAGTGTGATCTGTCTTGGCTGTGTTTTAGTGGATTTTGTAAAATACAGTCCCATTTCAGTTATAATACATATGTATATAGATTATTAATATTTATAAATAAGTTCTTAAACTTATTTTTCTTAAAACATAGAACAGTAAATAAAGAAGTAACGCAAACAATTATCTCTTCTAGTTACGACCTTTGTTCTCGATTGCTGCTTGCAGTAGGTTGCTAAACCTTATCAAATTTCGCATGTGGAGGATGTGAAATGAAATAATTATTTTTAGGTTTTATATATACATTTAAAATAACCAAAAAAATCCACTATAATTTATCAAGCTTAGTAACTCAGCTGTATTTGGGTTTAAAAAAATATATTTCAAGCTCAACCTTACCATTTGAAATGTGCCATGAAAAGGAAGGGTTTCCCACATAAATACTTTGAAAAGGCTCAGAGAACCACATGGAGGACATTCTGAGCTTTCGATTGGTTAT